AAGGATGACATTGAATAGGGAGATCGTATTGAATCATGGAGAAGCCTGGGTTAGATCATGCTATACTGTAAAGTTGGCTGTTCTCTCATGTTGCCCCTTGGCGAGATAAGAAGGATGATTATGGCCACAGATCGTCAAATCTGACAACACCACAATCGACCGGCACTTCTAATGGCATCTTAAATTGTGTCAATGGCGTGTATCTTTTCCCTAGCCCGTACCTGTAAAATACAAGAGTTAGACGCCAATATTGCAAGCCACTGATAGATAGTAGCAGTGGCATCAGACGGGAGACGGGTTTCCAGGGCCGTCTGCCAAGCCCCAAGCCAAGCCCATCTGTCGTGGGACTTATGCCACACAAACCCTCCCCTTTCAGTGGTCCACACAGCCCAGTTGCATTGCTTCAGTGGGTGGAGTGCACTGAAAGATAGCCCTCGGATACGCTGTGCCCAGTAAAACAGAGCCTGTCACACGTCCACCAATCCTCACATCTCATATCAGCCGGGATCCCGGGTGCCCCCATCCATTATCCCATTGGGTACAATCTCCTTCCCCCTTCTTCCTCACAGGGCACAGAGAGACGCCTCATTTCCAGTTTTAGGTACATGCCAGGCAAGGCAGGAAGGAGCTGCTGCAACTGCTACTGCTGAAAGAAAGAGCCCAGGCCCCGTCATTTTTCCCGCCCGGATTTCTCCCAGCCTCACCACCAATAACACTACACTACACCATCCTCTGTCTCTCTTCTCCGTCTCCGTCGCTCACCTCACCTCACACCCAGAATTCGATCTAATTCGACAGCACATTAATTGGGAATTTGATATACGAAACCCGTTCCCATCGCAATCATCCTCATACAACCCCGTAGCCCATTTAATCTACAACCTCAACTTCGGCTGGGCTTTCGCTTCCCCTCGACTTTTTACCCCCAACGCGGTGTCCCTGCCCTGCCCATTGGTCGACCCGCCAAGCATCCCCCCGTGCGCCCAGCCAGCAAGGCCCTCGAACCAATTTCCCTCTCTCTCGTCTCTACTGCCCATTGTTCCACCAGCAACGTTAATACTCAACTCAGAGTTAGTGAGAGCGAACCACTGCGACAGGAAGCCAAGTGATTGCAGAGCCCGACGACGTCTCGACGATATTATCACATCCACAAACCCCGATTTAGGCTCGAAATAGCATCACTTCACCAAGTAGCATCTACCGCGTCAGCACTCGCTGGTCTTGGCCTCCAGCGAGTTCTTCACATCCCCGCTCGAAATGCCATCGTTTCTCTCCGATCAGGAGAATTCGACAATCTTCAGCAATAACCCCGACATCCTCAACCTTGATCCCACGAACCAGTTCGGTTTCGTGAACAAGGAGAGGGTGAATGGGGGTTCTATCCGCCACACCCGATCCGATACAATCAATGAGAGCTTTGACGAGAGCTCCATTTCCTCTTCACACGCGTCCGACGTCTCCGACTCAGCACCGGCGCCTATGAATGGCAACAGTAACAGCACGCGGCCCACGAGCATGAGCTCCAATTCTAACGGCATGCCCGCTACGGCTACTCACACCCAGCAAGACGATGTAAACGGAGTCGGCAAGTTTGGGCAGCAGCCCATGCCTAATGGCACAGCGAACCTAGTCGACCGCACACGCCAACACTCATCCGATACCAATGGCATCAATTCCAACACATCCTCTACCAATAATCATGAACATAACAATATACTATCAAAGCCCCTACCTTCGGAACCCCAAACGACAGAGGGAGCCTCCGAGAAGCCCCCAAGCAGGAGCTTTGATGGAAATCATACACTCTCACTATCTCCATTCCCCGTAGAGCCGCGCGGTTCTCAGTCGCAAACTGCTCTCTCGGCGAATAATAATACGAACCCCGATGCGGCGCAGGCACTGCACCCTCGCACAAATGGCACACATCGATTGTCATCACCACCAATTTATAACCCGTCAAGCGCAGCAGCCTCATCAACAGGACATTTACAAGCGCCCCCTGGTCTCAAGCAACGACATACCCTCGATGTACCCAAATACGTTCCAGGGCGCGGTTCGAAAGACGGAATGGATACAGCCCAAGCCAGTGGCCGCTTTTCACCTACTAATGCTGGAAGTTCAAGTGGCCGGCGGCCGTCATTGAGTATGGGTAGAAGGCCAACTCGATCAATGCAGTCAGATGGACCACGGGACGAGATTGTACCAGATGAAGATGCTCTGCGCTGGGCAGAGGCATTGCGACAAAAGAGAGCTAGCAAGAGGAGGAGAAAGGAGGAGGAGGATGACGATCGTGTTCTTGTCGGTACCAAGGTTGACGAGAATCACGCCAACTGGGAGACCGCCTACAACATGCTCACAGGTATTCGTGTTTCGGTTTCGAGAACGAATGCCAAGCTCGACCGAGAGTTGACAGATGCCGATTTTGAGACTAAGCAGAAGTCGACGTTTGACATCGCCGGTAATGAGCTGGTGCCATCTGCCAAGTACGATTTCAAGTTCAAGGACTACGCTCCTTGGGTCTTCCGCCGTCTTCGAGCTCTGTTCCGTCTGGACCCTGCCGATTATCTGATGTCGCTCACGGGCAAGTATATTCTTTCTGAGCTGGGATCACCTGGCAAGAGCGGAAGTTTCTTTTACTTCTCACGGGATTACAAGTACATCATCAAGACCATCCACCATGCTGAACATAAGTTTCTCCGCAAGATTCTTAAGGAATACTACCAGCATGTTAAAGACAACCCCAATATGCTTCTTTCGCAGTTTTACGGCCTCCACCGAGTCAAGATGCCATATGGAAAGAAGATTCACTTTGTTGTGATGAATAACCTCTTCCCCCCACACCGAGATATTCACACCACTTTCGATCTGAAGGGTTCTACCATTGGTCGAGACTATAGGGAAGAGGATTTGGAGAAGAACCCCAGGGCGACCCTGAAGGATCTCAACTGGCTGAGGCGACAGCGAAGCCTCGAGCTGGGTATTCAGAAGAAGCGCATGTTCCTTGAGCAACTACAACGGGATGTTGCTCTCCTGAAAAGACTCAAGATTATGGACTACTCACTACTTGTTGGTATACATGACGTCTCTCGAGGGAATGAGGAGAATCTTCGTGACAAGACGCTACAAGTATTTAACCCTGGTGGTGAGAAGTCTCCCGACGACGAGCCCAACTCGGTCCTCCTTCGCACACCATCCAAGTTGGAGAACCAACGAAAGGCTAGGGAACTGAGACAGATGATTCGCCAGGAGCGACCAGTACCCATGGGCCAGTCAGCGAACAAGATGCCTGATGAATTGCAAGAAGGCCAGCATCGACCTGGATGGGTCTTTGGACAGGATGATGGTGGATTCAGGGCAACTCATGAAGATAACACTCCAGGGGATGAGATTTACTATCTCGGAGTCATCGACTGTCTCACTCACGTAAGTATCGCATCAAGGTTGAAACCGACGACAACTGACATGATTTAGTATGGAATTATCAAAAAGATTGAGCACTTCTGGAAGGGCTTATCCAGTGACAAGACACAAATCTCAGCACTACCACCTGACCAATATGGTGACCGGTTCTACCATTTCATCGAGGGTGTCACCATGTCCACTGAAGAGGCTCACCGGGAGGCCGAGAGGAGACATCAGGAAATGATTGAAGCTCAGCGTTCAGAAAACAGGGTGTCAAGCTGGAATTCTCGCCGCAGGTCTTCTCAGGCCGTTCCACCGATGCCGACCCATGTGCCACCTCCACCACCTGGCCCACGATCTCCAGAAGCTCAGGAAACGCTCGAAAGGGCTAACAAGGAAGCTGAGCGCTCTGAGAGGCATGGCCACACCGAGAACCAGGTTCCAGACCGAGTCTTGACTACCGGCACTTCTCGAGATAATCGCGACTCTTTGCAACACGAGCCTATCTTGCCCGTTGTGCAGGAGGCAGGTGAAAATGGCCGTGACGACACCGAGGCTAGGCCTCCGAGATCCTCTAAAGACCTCAACAAGAGCCTCCCTCCGACGAGAGCACCGCCCCCAACTCCTCCCAAATCAGGATATGCTGGACCCGGAAGCGCAGATAGTGGCTATGCAGGTCTCAGCAATGGCACAGGTCCCGTTAATCAAGGACAGAGAGTGAGCATTGATAGTCTCAATAAGGAGCTGCCGCCATTACCGAGAAAGGATGGGACAGACGACAACGGAGTACGACTGGTAGCTTAGGTTGCGACCAAGGTCAAACCAAGGAATCACTTCCAGGTTTGTCGAGGAGGACAAAAGATGGATTCACGATTAAGAAAGCGAACGACGCAGATACATACAAAAGGTTGACGAGCGACGGAACCATCGCCAACCACCGATGATGCATTAGAAAAGCGAGACACCTGGCAACACATCCCCTTATTCATGTCATATCATATTCTTATCCTGGTCCATTCTTTGACCAGCCATGCACTATTTCCTTATTGTTATTCTGTCCATCAACATCTTTGGCATACTGGACTCGGCCTCGGCCTATGAAAGCAAGTTTCCTTTTCAGTCACATTTTCCTTTGTCAGCGACGAAGCAGAGAAGCACTCGGAAAGGTGGTGAGCCGTATCGCCAGAGTGAGGGGCGGTCGGTGTCTCGGGAGCGAGTGCAGATATGGTTCCTTTTATCAAAAAAGAAGAAGACATGGATGATACCACCACGCTTAGCACGCTACAGTCTGTTTTTTTATTCATTTTTCTTCTGGTCGTTATTCAATTCTTTGTTAACTGGCCCCTTTTCACATGATACTTCCTTTTTGTCATATACTTATTGTACTCTCTTGGTTTTTCATCAGCTGGTAGGGCTTGCACGGGTATCGGCTTAGGTAGTAGGAATAGATAGATTTGGTAGGATAAAGATTTGAGTTAGCTCACTGGGAGGAATGGGTCTGGTGTGTGGTGTGAAGGTGATACAGTGAGTGCAATTGCGATTGTACTTCCTGGTGTGAGTTGGTGGTATTGTGGTAGTTTACAATAGTATAATACAAATGTGTATAACAAGCAATGGCCTTTTGTGAAGCCTTTTCCGTGTCCGTCGTCTCATCCATCATCTTATTCCCCCAATTGCTTTACTTCTTCTTATCCAACATGGCCTGAATATCACCTACACCCTTCCCCTTCTCCCCAGCACCACCCTCTGGCGCAAAACTTGTCGTAACCGTCATCTCCTGCGCACCTTGTGCTCTCAACTCATCCAGGCGTCGCTTCTTCTGGATATCCGCAACCCTCCACTGCTTGAAGTACTTGACCCAAGCAGCTGCACAGTCCCGCTCGAAATCCGCCGTCTCAACTGGACAAGCTTTCTTGGTCGCTGATGGATCTTTGGTGGCGTCGACGATGTTGTGGGCGTCTAGACAGTTGAAGTAGGCATCGCGGGCGGCCCAGCAGATCTTGCGCTCTTGACGGTTTGGTATCGCGTCGCCGGATCGAATGGCGTCGGCGCGGGAGTCGCTTGAGAATGGCCAGAAACCCATTTTGTATTTGTGTTTGTATTTTTTAGTGGTTATTATGTGAGAGGGTTCGTCCGTTCGATTCGTGATGCTGATGCGGGTGGGACACACGGGTACAAAATCTCATGAGCTGTATCTCTCTCTACCTTAGTCTAAAGGTATGACGAGCAGGAACGGCAGAAAAAGAGGGCGGTGAGATTGAAATGGCTTAGTGGATGAAGCACAAGCCACGTTTCAGGGTAGCTATGCTATGCCATGTGTGGCTGATGCACTTTAATCTGTCCTTTGATAGTCCTTACTTCCCTTACTTTACACAACTCGGCTTATTCCCTGCATTCAACTTTCTTTTTCTCTCCTTTACTTTTTCTTTGTCTATGCTGATGCTCAGCTGCTGTTGAGTTTCACTTTCAATAATCAAGCCTCAAATACTAGAAAAAGCTGGGAATACAAGGTTCATGCGCTAAAGCCGAAAGCTCAAAGAAGACATCACAAGACCTCACGAGACATGCCCCTTCGATGACCAACGACTCTTGCACCTGCTAGAACTTCACCTCCCACAACAACTTCAGACGAAAACATATCATGCCACGACGTCGTAAACCTCCGCGCGCAGGCGCCCTCGCAGAACTTGCGCCCCTAAAAATCGCAGGCCAGATCGCGACACTACAGGCGATATACTACTTCGCTGCGCTGGTCCTCATTGTCTTTACGGCGCTTGTTTCTGGCTCGGGATTTAGCTGGACGCTTGTATTTGGCTGGGAGGGACTGAGAGGAGATACCACGCATGGATGGCTCATGGCATTTGTGTTCTTGTTGGACGGAGGGCTGATCATGTGAGTTCTACTTTGAAGCGCAGAAGCTCCCTTGTTGGAATATCGTCACTAACACTTTGTAGTCCTATCGCAATAGTCGCCCTCATCGCTCGCTCCAAACTCGTACCCGATTTCGCCTTAACCGTTCACTTTCTCAACCTCGTAATCGCATCCCTTTACAGCGGTCACATTCCCCGCCACGGAGCATGGTGGTTCACCATGCTAGTCTCCTCAGGGCTATGCATCGGTCTGGGAACATGGGGCTGCCAATATCGCGAACTCCAGCCCGTCTTCTTCGGCGGCCGTCGTATTCTCCCAGCTACAGGACCTGAAGGCGCAGCGCCGCAACCTCCTCCGCCTGTTGATGAGGAGATGGGTATTGCTGTGAGAGGAAGGGGGCCGGATGGTGGTGGAGAGTATGAGATGGCGCCTATGCAGCCTGTAAGATGAAAATTGGGGTTGGGTTCCTTGGATATGGTTGAATAGACTTGCATTGCTAGGCGTTTGGGCGCTCTTTACCCCGTTTATGTACGTTAATATGGAAGAGTTTTAATCAGGAGTCAGACTTGTTCCTGTGTCAGTTCCAGACTGAGTGAGACGACTCGAGGATAGATCTGTCTATCAAGAGACGAACATCAATATAACGACCGGATTTCATAAAGATTCATATATGAATGTGCCTGGAATCGATAGTCGTGAATTATCGTGATATGTTTCAGTACTTTACTTGTTCGCGAAAGTTACAGTCAAAGCAAGAAACACCAAAGCAAGCGAATGGAGAAGAAGTGGCTTTGATGCCGTTGTTGAATCTATCTCAACTTTCCTCTTCTGCAATCTCCAACCCCTTCGTGGCTCATTATAACCAAATTCATTCCCCAAAGAGAATACACCTTTGTCTTATCTTGTCTTTCTTTCTTTCTTTCTTTCTTCAGTAGAGTACAAAAACCAGCACATCCCATCGATTACGCCCATTCCTTTTCTTCGCCTCCAATTTCTTCTGTAGCCTTTCATGGACGTTCTATGCACCAGCCACAACCGCCAAATTATCGTATATCATCTTGCGCACCTCGTAGAAAGTGCTTCTTCGTGCAGTCGGCATACCGACGCTCTCGACTTCGACTCGCCCTGCGGATGTCTTGCGAACAGCCACGGTGCCGTCGACAACTAGTGTACCCTCACCACGGAATTCAGCTGCATGGCCAGCGGATTGCATGGCACGACGGAGGTCAGCAAGTCGGAGATCGCCAACGTGTAGTGGTTGAGCTGCTGAGCGGACAGCGGAGATGAGGTTCGCGGGTAGAACATCAAGAACTGGTGTGGCCGAAGGGATAGCCGCAGCCATGTTGGTGAGTGTTGTTGAGGAAGCCTCCTCTGTCTTCTGGCGCTTGTTGGCAGCATCTTCATCTGCTGCGGCGGCCTCGTTAAGATGTGTGGCAAGGAGCTGTCCGGTGATAGTAACAATGCCCAGACCACGCACGTTCTGCCACTTGATCTTCCTGACAAGAGGATCAGCGAGCTTGACGACCCATGCGTTGGTGTCGACACTAGCATCCACGACGACTCCAACCTCAGGAGTATATACGTCAACAGAACGCTCACTGCCAGCATCTGCGTTGCTATTATCTCCGCCCAATGCCCGACGGCAGTCTTCGGCCAGAGAGAGTGTCTCATCTCGTTCACCACCAACAAGAATGAGCTTTCGTGGTTGGATCAGGGGAATCAGCATGTTAAGACTTCGCTTATCATGCAGACCGCTAAAGTCGACGAATGCAATGCGCATGTTGGTCTGGACAGTTTCAGTCTGATATGTGAGCTTGCACGGTCCTGTGGGCTCATCGGTCTCGATATCCTCGACACTATCGAGCTCATCAGGCACGAAACCATCATGATCACCAGCTCCAGCCTCTTCTCCGTCAGCGGAACCAGCCCGCACATTCTGTTGTCGCTTGGCGCCGGTTCCAGTCTTTGCGAAATCATCCCATCTCCGTTTCTTGCCGAGCTTGTCGTCAGTGGCCTCCATGTTGGTGCTGTCCTGGCCTTCTTCCTCCTTCTCTTCAGCGCGAAGGTAATCTTCGGGTCGAATGAGCTCTCCAAAGTCGTCCTGACGCTTTCTTCGGATAGCGATAGGGAACGTCCTCTCTCGGCCCTTCTTCCCTCGAGAGTCGAAATCGTATACACCCTTCTTCTTGATGAGCACGTTGACACCGAGATCCTCATCCTTGAGAACAACATTCTTGCGGCCAGCTTGGGCAATAGCTGTCGAGACGTTGAGTGCTTTACCCTGTTGTTCTCCGTCTTCATCTTCTGAGTCAGAAGAGGATTCAGATGAAGCATCGTCAACGACATCTGCTGTTGCCTCAAGTCCAGCTGCGCCTCCGCTCTGTTGTGTAGCCTGAAGCTGTCTTTGAGTCGCAAGCCATTGTTGATATAGTGCCAATTCGTCGCCTTCTAGAGCATGACGCTGAGCCTCACGAATCTCCAACTCCCGTCCACCAGCATAAACAAACTCGAGATTCTCGCCATTAGCGTTTTGTTCCACAGATACACCATCCTTGCGCTCCTTCCACCAATCCCATAATGTTCGTGCAATAGATGGTTTGTCTGTCTTTGATAGACCGGGCTTATCTGTAAGAATGACCAAGTTTCTCGAGTCTCGGGCCAATCCTTTGATCAAGTCCTTTGAGAAACCCCACTCAATGCTGCTATCGCTGGCCAAAATAACACGGCCTTCTGTCGATACGTTGTCGGGATTCTGACTCAGAAGTCGCACGATCTGGGCCTTGCGCTCGAGTAGTCGTAGATATTTAAAGTCGAATGGTCCACCCTCCTTCTTGTCGTTCGCGCCATTGACCCTTCGTTGGCCCTCAGCAAAAGCCTCGAACTCTTGAACGATGCTATCGTCCATCCATTCGAGCATACTTCGGGCGTATCGCATTGTGCTTGACATGTTGCGTCCAGCCAGATATAGCTTGGCTGTCTTGAGGACGCCTGCATCAGAAGCAGCATCTGTCCTCCAAGCATGTTCCAGGAGATACGAGAGCTCTAGGACTCGAGCACTTGAATCCACAGGGATAAGAACAGTTCCTCCTCGTGTCACGCAAGCTTTGATAGTGTCGATCAGCTGCTCGTCTCGCTTGGCGCGGCCTCCAGTCTGAGCAGTTCGGTCTGCACCACGACTGCTGCAGATGAGTGCAGTCGGTTTCCGTAGTTGCTCAATGACTTCAGCGCCACCTCCTCCAGCACCTCCCAGCCAAGCTGCTCCAGCAAAGACATTCTCACGTGCCTGGTTCCAGTCCACAGCATACACAATAGATTCTAGACCGTGCTGAATATGCCATATCGTACCTCCGAGGGTATGTCCAGAGTTGTAGGCGGTGATAGTTAAGCCATTAAGAGGCGGTGAGAACGGCGAGGGTAGAGGTTGATGCGGTTGTGAGTATTTAAGCGGTTGGATAAGGGAGAAGTATCGTGCAATCTCTTCGTTCGTAGGAGATTGTAGTAGTAGGTTCTGCGCAGTTGTCGCAGTCTGTGTCAGCGAGTATGCGCTCTCTGTGAGCGAACTCTGAGGAATCGTCGTCGCCGCGGCAGGACTCGATGTGTACAGGTCTTGAATGAGGGTGCGACCGAGGTCAATGACTGGTCGTGTCGCATATACAGGGATGCGCGTGAACTGTGGAATGTTCTTGCAGCAGTGGGCGTAGGCAGCAAGATGCGAAGCCGTCGCATGTGTAACGAGGATGAGCGAGAGAGTTGTCACTTGTCTATAGCGCATATTTGTTAGCCATCATCGTCGTTGCAGCTGCGCAGGGAGCATACTTCTCTATCTCTTTGAGCTTTTCAACATCAAAGGTCTCGTCCCATCCTAGATCAACCAACACCTTGACGCCTCCATCGAGTTCGAGGAGCGATTGCGAAGCAGGCGAGTCTGAAAGGGCGCCCTGGAGCGGGCAAAAGGTGAACATGGTGGTATCGGCGCAATCGTGATTAAAGAAAGGATCAAGTCAAATCAAGATGAAGGTTTGGAGTAGAGTTGCTATATCGATTGTAACAGCATGATTATCGTTAAATCAATCTTAGTTGAGTCGAGATGGATTAAATATCGAGATGGAAGTTTTGCAGCTATTGAATTGTCATTTCATTGTCCTCTATTGATGCGGACAAAGACAATCAATCGGTCGTCGCGAAGCTTGATTATTCTGCCCATTGATGCGCGTAGCACTTGCAGCTGTCAATGGGTTCGGGCCGGCTAAACTATAGTCCGACTTACACGCGACATGCTGCTGATTACGTGCATTCACGGATGAAATAAACTATTTAAGGTAAAATACAAAGGCTGCTTTAATTAACTCAAATGTGACTGCAAAGAATCTCAAGATCTATATTAGCCAGTCAAGCATGCGAGGCCGTCAAGACAAACCATGCACATTACGCTGGCATGCAGCGACAAGCCACTATGAATAGCTTCACAATCAACATTACAATGAATGGCTTAATACGAGCAGGCCAATCTCACGAGACCAATTTGAACCAAATTAAAGACATGTCTCTCTTCCATAAATAGCAGTGTCGACTATTGTCAATAGCTTCATCTCCTCGCCACCCCTCCAGGCCTCTAAATTGCCGCCTATTCCCATCACACCCCTACAACATCTATACGCAAACCCCAATTCTAGGCTTCGAGATAAAATTAAGGATTACCTGGAACTATCCGAGGCCCTCTATTGCCATTATCATTTCCCGTTTCCCCAGTTTCTCCCTTACGCGTTCTTTACGATCTGTACTACACCCTGTCCGGCATCTCGGCATCGTCAGGATGACGCGGCCCTGCACTACGCGCCGCCGAATAGCTGAAGACACGCATAAACGGGAATGCAGACACTATCCACCAACTGACAACAACCTTAAATCTACTGTAAATTTTACCTCATCGTGCCGTTGTGCCGCCCCTGACTTACACTGAACGCGTACGTACTGTACGCATACGCATTGCATTGGCGCTCAAACCGCTTCGTCAGCCGGCCTGATATTACACCATGGGACAAAACGTCACTCAAACATACGGAGACACGGTGAATTAGGTGGCATGATGGACAAGTTTGGTCAATATGCTTCTGATATTGCTCTCAGTAACTATGTACATGATTGGTATGCTTCACCGCATAGATAGCGACGGCACCTAAACACCACTGAACCATGATGGTGCCTTGTGTGACCCCTAAACACCGTTCCGTTCATTCCTCTTCCGTTCCCTGTCGTAAAAAAGCACGCTGAATGATCGCAGCAGACCCCCTTTGGTTGCTGTCCCGTAAAATATGATGACGCCGTACAATGCATATGATGAATAAACACAACTCCTTAGCATGGTAGCCTCTACCTGGGCTGATTTTGGCCTCCAATCCGTTTCAACACCACTGAGGATAGCTTCCTCGTTTGTTTTTTTTTTAGATGCAAAACTTGCGGTCCAGCATTCTCAAGGCTCTTGCGTCCTCACTGACACCGCCCTTCTCCAGGCCACAGGCACCAGCCGCTCTAGGACTGCTGCTGGCGCTGCCAGGCTTGACACTGCCGTTTTCACTAGGTGCGGGAGTAGGGTGCAGAAGCGCTGAGAGGCTAGCCTTATTGGAAGTGGTGGCGGGAGCTTCAGAGTGAGAGCTTCGAGGAG